TTATTATTATTATTATTATTTAGATATAGAATTATTAATAACATTAATAACTAATACAATTCTTATTTTACTTAATTTTTTAGTATCATATGATTTGTTTGGGATAAATTTTGGTATATGAAGATGAGAATATGTTCAGACGTATCGTCAGGCTACGTTTTCTTGCCTCTTCAGTGATCATATGTTGAGCTAAAAGTGATTTTTCGCACACAATATAATAGGGGGGGGGCGAAGATATAAAAACAAACAAACAAAAAACACAAAATTATAATACATATTTAAATGACAGAGCGAAGTGACTCAGTGCGTAGCGCGCTGGATTCGCAATCGGAAGGTCCGGGTTCAATTCCTTGGCCGGCCATCTTGACCGGGGTTTTCGTAGTTTCCTTCCGTCACTAAAGGATGGTCTCAAAATCCCCCGAACATCTTCCACCTCCCACTATCCTAGTTGACACCTCCTTCCATCACCCTAGTCCTTTAACCACTCATCATCCCCCTATAATAATAATAATAATAATAATAATAATAATAATAATAATAATAATAATATCATCCTACCCCACCAATTAATATTCAAGGCTAACAACCTGGTCTTAACCAAGGGAGGCAACCGAAAGGCAGATCCCTATAATTCCACAGATTGATCTCTCCAGGATAGAACTCGACCTCGGAGAGAGAAAAGTATTGCGTGGTCAGTAATGGCCCATACGCTAATAACTTATTTCAATGATTAGCAGAGAGGTTCAGTCCAACCCCGTTTTGCTACATATTCCTTTAAAAGGCAGCTCACGGTAGTCTTTGTAACATTTTACTGTTGAACTTATGTGAGTTAAACATTCTTCCCCGAGTAGCAAAATTATTTAACATCTTTATTGCAATAATTGTAATATTCCATTTTAAATTATTCGATATGGACTATTTCACAACAAACATTGTGTATTATTGTCTTTTTTCGTAATATATGTTTAAAAACATTTGCCATAAAACTATTCGATTATGTAAAAAAATAAAGAGGTTTCTCTTTTGCAGCGATTCCGTTGGGCGCCATGGAAAAGCCTTTTTATGATCCAGATTATCTGCGCCACATCCGCCTGGCGGGGTTAGGTTTCTCTGTAGCTCACGAGATGGCGCATCATATAGACTCGCTCGGTGAGTGTTTCATGTTCCAGAATTTACGTATATTTGGAAGTTTTACGGTTGCGAAAATATAAGACTAGTAAATTGCATTTCCAGAAAACAATCCAAATAGATTATTAGCACTATTTGATATTTTTGACGAAGTTGTCATTCAAAACATGCTGAACTTATATTTTCATGTTAGCTGTTTTACTTAGAGTACCTATTACAATTATCTATTTCATTTTGGTTTCATTTTTAGTTAAGAGTAAAAGTTTTTTTGGAATAATTACGTTTTCAATGAAATTCCACAGGTATTAAGTTCAATACCTCTATAGATGAACACACAAGAAGTGACTACAAAGAAAAAGTCCCACACTTCCTTGTATGGGAGAGTGAAGTAAACGTTGAGTATATGAATATGACTGGGCCAAGTAAACATAAGATTGTACATTTTAAGGTAAGTTGGGAGCATAACTATTTGAACTGAAATGTAACTCTATCGTAAGATATATCTCGTGGCTATTTATCGTAGTAATGCATGGTTTGAAAACGCAGCGAATGAAAATAATATAAAAGCCAGTAACGAAACAATACTCAAGAAAGGAACATTATTTGGCCCAAACGAAATGAGAATGGTTCAATGTAAATTCTTTAATTGGTACTATATTCGAGTACATTCACTTAACAAACATCAAAGTGTAAGTTAGTGTTGTCTGTAACGAATTTTTCAAATAAAATAGAAGGCCAGATAAACACATTAAACCCTTTTTTAAACGTATTGGAAAGCTGTGAACATTGACAATCTGATGGATGATGATCCATACCTGAGATAAAGTGACTTACCCAATAGGGTACTCTAATACATTATATATGTGTAACATCATGTGTTTGTATGGCATCAAGTCCCTGAAGAAGACCCCGTTCAAGGGTCGAAGCGTCTGTAACAAAACGAATGTATTTTCGAGTAAAAAAGTTTTTAATAAGAAAACCTTCAATGTTGACCCTTCGGCATCGATATATGTTTCTTAGCGCGACAACCAATGGTAGAAACAATTTTCGATGTCTTCGTGATTAGGAAAAACCTTTAAAGCAACCGTCGCAACCACAATACGTATTCGGAAATAAACACACGGTGTTTTGCTTTTCATTCATTGAGGGTAAAACGAAGTGCAGTGGTGCCAATTGGAGCAGCGTTTGGCAGTCACCACTTTTCCCATTGTATTATAAACAATTATTTTTGGGGGTGCTTTTTCTGCGCAAAACCTCCACTCCGCGACCGCTGCCGTTCCCAGCAGCACGTGTCCTCGTCCGTGCTATGTTTTCGGTTGTTTTCCTCAATGAAGCTAGGGCGCCGCCGCTGACCGTTGTCGCATGCAGTTACAAGTTCTTTCTCTGACGATCTAATTTCTGCTGACGCACTAGAGTATGCCTTCTTTGAAATAATCATCCAAGCTATGTTATGTGTACGATTCTGGATATGTTTTGAATAAACCTACAAACGGAAAACTGTCGATTTCCTGTTAAGAGAACCATTCATATCTTACATAAGATAACCTAAGCTGTCTTAAACATCACAGTCTAAGGCCTTCATGGGTGGGTTAATAAAAAAGCATAGTTCACACGCGCAGGCCTCACTGGATAGAAACCCTGAATCATTTGTAAATATATTTTTATTAGTTCGTTTATATTTAAAATATGTTTATAGTTTTTATTTAAGTTGCAAGGCAAAATTTTATTTTCTTACTGAATGCGAATTAAGTAAGCGAATTTAGTATTTCAATATTAGCAGCATGCCGTGTAATTGACTCATACTTGGGGTCCTTTAAGATGTTAATCTTACCCTGCATACCTTCCATTTCAGATGAAGTTTCTTTGGCATATACTCTCCACGTCATGAATCAAGCTGTACTCAGAAGGACAAGGCGAATTCATATCATTGTCGGCAGGGAAATCGTTAGTACCACACATACGATGTGAT